CCGATAATCCCGAGAGGGCCTCCCAAGTCGGACAGGTCGAGGGTAGGGACCAGACTAATAGAAATACCCTGGTCCTCCAGGTTAGGGGTTGGATCGTAGGGCCGACACCCCTACATTTGTAAAAATTACATAAGTTGAGAAGCCTCAGAGGAGGCTAGGACTCGATTTTGGGCTGTTACGCCATATTAGTAGTAGTAGTGCTTAGTTATAGCCACGGTGGTCTAGCGGTTAGAACGCTGGCCTTGTAATCCTGGGGTCTCGGGTTCGATTCCCGGTGGTGCCCGAATTTATAACTTGTGTTGGGCAAGGCCGGGGTCTAGGCAACACGGAGTTTTCCTCCGTGGCATCCCCACAATTACTCCATTCACACACAGAAGAAGGCAATGGCAAACCACTTCTGGATCATCTGCCAAGAACGTATATGAACAGGTCCCAGTCCGAGAAAAGGATGGAAGGATCCTGTTCATATGGACCTGTCGTCAGACAGAACACTAAATAAATAATAGTGCTTAGTTAGACGAATAATTAATCATAGTAAGTGCCATTTCATAAATGGCTCTAATCGGTTGATGATGTAACCTTGAAAGGAGTAATTTGTGTGCGGGTATTAAGGTAGATCGTAACTTTTAAGTAATTTCAAAAATTATATTGGCCTGTACTTACTCCTATTAACAGCTGAGTCAGATTCCTCACTTGCCAGAAAGCAGATTACATAAATCTTTCTTTCAAAATGTATATTCCTTATAAATCTTGTCGTGTTCTGACTTGTTAAATTTGAGTTTCGAGACCGTCATGAATTTTTTGGTGACCACAATTCAGAAGGTCAAGTACGCATAACCCAACATAACGTAACCTAACCTAACCCAACCTAACCTAACCTAACTTAACCTATCCTAACCTAACCTAACCTAACCCAACCTAACCTAACCTAACCAGCTTCGTCCACGGCGATGCTGTTGGCTTACCTGACACGAGTCCTTCCCCCCCTCCCGACACCCCGCGCAGATCATTCCGTCCCGGACGTCGTACTCGTTCTTGTCGTCACTGCAATTCTCCGCTGATATGATAGGAACTTCCACAAACTGGAGATTTTGCGGTAGATCAGATGGGCCCTTTGATTGGACAGATACGATGAAAAAGTCAGGTTAGCGTTAAATTTTAACTTTACTGTTGAAAGTGCATTGGTATTTTGGCTACCGTTCGTAAACTATTTATAAGCGCTGACTCACAGCTTAGACGAACGTCTAGACAAAGAGTATCTGTAACTGATTCGAAATGTTACACCTTTCAAGGAAATTTATGCCCGAGATATAACCTCCACAATGAGTTCTTAATAGTCTTAATGAACGGAAAGACTTACAAACGTACGTACATTCTGTACAATTTTAGGTCGGGGTCGTTTCCCAGGGCATTGTGGGTAATAACAAATGTTTCTCTCTTAATTTTATAGTAGAAATGAGGTTACTAATACCACTGCACGCACAACACAATTTATCATATTTTGTTGCTGAATAACTCTGGAATTAACAGCAGGCTTCATCCAACGTAATTAAGCGTAATTTCGACTTTGATATTGCTGATTGCAAGTGTTTCGAATTTGTTGGTAAGGACATCGGTTAATCCTTCCTCGAGGTCTCTCGGGTGGCCTTATTCGACCCCACGAAACTGTTCTTCGTTCCATGCCCACAGGAAAAGGTCAGGAGCCCCGAGGTCACTTACGAAAGCCAAGAACCCTTGAAGAAATTTAGAAAAAAATACCACGTTCTTACCAGCGTCGGCGAACGTGTCAGTTCGATCGAGGAAATCTGCTGACGAGGTCGCAGAATATTTGGACATCTGATGCCTTGCACATGAAAGCTTGCTGAATAATCTACCATAAGCAGTTTGAAAAAATGAAGTCATTACTGGAGAGAGCAGATTAATTAGCTACTTACTGAGTCAGCAATTCCCCATCCCGTAACGTTGCAAGCAGTTCCTTCCTGAACCGTAGCGTTCGCTAGCCTGATGGCCATAATGAATTCGCTGTCCAGAGGAAAGTGTTCGGTAACCTATTTAAAAGGAAACAAGAAATACAACCAAATTCATTCTGCTTCATAGGGAGGAATTTTACGTTTCACTTTATTGAAAGTGTTCAATAACTGACTTTTGGAACAAAAATAACAAATCAAAATGATATTCCTGAGGAAGTTAGGAGGAGACTGAATTCCGGAAATGCCTGCTACTTCTCAGTTCAAAATATTTTGTCATCCCGTCTGATTTCTAAGAACCTGAAGATTAAAGTATACAAAACAATAATCTTGCCTGTTGTTTTGTATGGGTGCAAAACATGGTCTCTCACTCAGAGGGAGGAACACAGATTGCAGGTGTTTGAGAATCGGGTGTTGAGGAGGATATTTGGGCCTAAGAGGGAAGACGATGGGGCGTGGAGAAAACTGCACAATGACGAGCTTAAAAATCTGTACTGCTCCCCCAGTATTGTGAGGGGTGATGAACCTTCGGGTTCTGTAAGCCATCTGTTTGGTTGGGTCCACTATTTGGGAAGCCTGAGGGGAATAGACCGCTGGGGAGACCTTGACGTAGATGGGAGGATAATCTCAGGCGGGATCTATGGGAGATAGGAGTTGAAGGAGACTGGATTTTGCTGGCTCAGGACAGGGTCCGGTGGAGGGCTTTGGTTAATTCGGTGATGAACCTTCGGGTTCCGTAAGCCATCTGGTTGGTTGGGTCCACTATTTGGGAAGCCTGAGGGGAACAGATCGCTTTGGAGACCTAGACGTAGATGGGAGGATAATCTGAGGCGGGATCTATGGGAGATAGGAGTTGAAGGAGACTGGATTTTGTTGGCCCAGGACAGGGTCCGGTGGAGGGCTTTGGTTAATTCGGTGATGAACCTTCGGGTTTGGTAAGCCATCGAGTTAGTTACTTAGGTTAATAACTGACAACACAGAATGCCCAGAACAGAGAACCTACTCGGAATTGAATTCCACTTCCGAGGTCAGGGCTATAACCCATCTTCTGGCAAGAATCTCCTCACCAAAAATCAGTCATTTTCTTCTGCAACATTAAACCGTCCAATTTCCGATCGTCCACACATCTTTTGATCGATCAAGTCCCAAGTTTAGAGTGAACGACTTGTTAAAGAGGCCACTTTCGACATCGAGTATTAAAGGAGACAGCAATGTTCGAGTTGAAGCTTAAATGTAGGGAATATGACAATTTGAATTGATTCAGCGGGTTCACGAAACAGAGCAGTGAACACAATAATGATGAGAAACTTCGCGTTTGAGAGGGAATTTCTTGACAAACGAAACGTACAAGAGCTCCCCCAAGACGACTGTAATGTGCGGTATCACCAGTGCGATGTAAAGCTCCCCCAAGACGACTGTAATGTGCGATGTAGTTTCATAATGTTTTTGAAGTGTAGTTCAGAGACTTGCTCTGAACAGCGCAAAGCCATTTTAGAATTTGTCTTGTCTGTGATTACATACAATGACGTACCCTCAACAGAGCGATGTCGTTTTCCAGTGTGTTATAGTCGTAATTCTCGTGCATGAAGATGGCAGATACGGACCGACGAACGCTGGTGCACCTGGACCGATCGAGCATCACATCGCCGGCAATCACCCGAATGTCACCGGGGCCTTTACTACGAGGGAACAGAGAACAAGGACGTCGATGATGTCGACAGGCGAATTTCTATAATACATCAGTAGTTTCGTATTAAGCCTGAACAGCTGAAAGCGTTGATAATTAAGCCATGAATACGTAAAAATATAATAACATATGGCGAAGAACACCCGGTATGTTCAATACAAGAGCGGATTTAACAGAAACGCAGGCCAAATAAATTAATTCATAATAAAGACTGAGTAAAACCACGGAATCCGTTGTGATACGCTAGTAGTGTCTCAGCCATTCTACAAAATACACGCTTTTATGGAACCCTGAAGTTGAACAATCTCAAAACGTTCAATACATTCCACACAAAGTCCGAATCATGAGCCAGATGAATCCAATCATATTTTGGCGTCTACGCCTAGGTCTTCCAAGTGGTCTCTTTCTTTCAGGAATTCTGACCAAAACGTTTTGTATAAATTCGTCGTAAACCGAATGGAGTACTTCAGCGCCCTGACCTTTTCCCGTAAGTGTGGAAGACAAAAGTTTCGAATCCGCGTAATACGAAACAAATATAAAATGACGCAGATTAATAAGGTTAGATCAAGCGTTTGGCTGCAGGAACCGAGAACTCGTTCACGATAACCTAACCTCTCGGACGGGGACTTCAACTGGGGTTACTCCCGTGTGCCGAACGTCCGAACGCTCTACCGCGAAGTTCGGTGACGGCGAATCTGAATCCACACCGAACAGGCCAACATTCAAGGGATATTCAAAAGCGGTGTGTCCATTTTGAAGAGGGGGCACGTAGTTTTTGACATGAGTCAAAATGTGAAGGCCCTAACAAGACTAGAACGTTCTTGCACGACATAATAAAGTCTCTTACGCCACGTGTCTGTGGGTGTTAATTAACGCGCTTAAGGTTTATTCAGAAGCCGGCGTAACCGCTGGCAGTGGCTCACCCGTCCACGCAGTGGGCCGCGGTAAGGACGTGCTGTTCGTCTATGACGGAACCACCACAGAAGTGTCTCAGCTGCCAGCCGCTATGTTGAATTGAAACCTGCAATCAGCGTTAAAATTAGAAGGTATTTTTTATTTTTCTCGTGTCTTATTTTTCCCTCCGCTGTAATATAAAACCAATAAAATTACATATTACGTCATTTTCAAGGTTTATTCTGAATTCGACCCCCAATCGCCTCAGACTGACTTTTGTTACGCACGCGAATGAGCTAATTGATTGGTAATTAAAAGTGACGACGTTATCAGCGCCAACTATGGCAAAACAAAAGCTACAAGAAATACGACTTCAGTTGTTTTACGTGAGTGTGCAAAATGGTCTAACGCCTTATAGGACATTTACAATTAACAAAATGTAAATCACAGGAGAATGAGTAAAGTACAAAATGGAACCATTTATAATTTATAACCTTAAGCCGGTGTTGTTCGGGCGACGAAATCGACCAAGAGGAATTAGAAGGGTTGGACATGTAACACGCGGGAAAATTACGAGAAATACGCGCGCGATTGTAGTCATAAAACGCGAAGGGGAAACTTAGGCTTCGATGTGCCTGTAGGCCTAATATTCAGACGTATTTTAACAGCAGTGATCGCGGTTGAGGTCTACATTAAAACATTTAACTTCTGGGTACAAATTATTAAATTTGGTTATTTATTAAATCGTATATTATCTTGACCCCCCCCCCTTTCAAACTATCGATATCCTGCAGTTACGGGATCAAAAGCCTCGTCAGAACATCAGAAATTTGTCATTAGAAAAATCTGCTTTGTAAATCGCCCTTATCTCGAAAACAAAAAAATCTATCTTT